CCTCAAAAAAAAAAAAAAAAAAAAAGGCAAGAATGTCCATCAAGTAATGTTAGTGGATATTAATTGGCAAACAAACTTAATTTATCATTTTTGAGGTTTCTCATTAGGTAAGAAATCCTGCTCTTAACAACCAAAGAGAGTTTGAGAACATTTTATTCTCAGCTTCCTTCCATTCTAGTCAATTAATTTTTGTTGCTTGAAAATTCTCTGCAAGATCTGAAGAACCTATTCAAGATTCAAGTGGAACTCCATGGGGCTTTGGGAAGGTTGCCCTTTTAATCTATGTTGCTTGGACTCTTCGAAAATGTCGGTGGGTGCGTGTCGGATCCTCCAAAGGTAGTACATTTTTGGAGGATCCGACACGGGTGCAGCAACTGTTTTGGAGAATCCGCGTAACATAGCTTTTAATCCACTGAAACTGCAAACTGCAGAATTCCAAGATGTTGCATGATTATTTTCTTCAGCTCTTTGCATTGAAAATTCATTACGATGCTATCCCATTCTCAAGCTTTCACCGACTTACCTTGCAGGTATTTCTGTTGTGTGTGTTGGCTGGCTGCAGTATCTGCTGGTTTAATACAGTATGTTATGTGTTGTGCATCAAACATTTCCCAGCAAATAGACCATTTGCATTATCCCTCAGCGTAAGTTTCAATGGTGCAAGTGCAGCCTTGTTCAACCTCATTGGTAATGCCATTAATTCCAATGATGATACACTATACCTTCTTCTTAATGCCCTAGTCCCCCTTGTCACATCAGTTGCAGCTCTGCCAATCCTCCGGCAACCTCACTCCCAAACTCTTCGTGCTGATTCTGTTCACCGAGAATATCTCATTTTCCTATGTCTAACCATACTAGCAGTTTTTACCGGCCTTTATCTCTTAATCCTGAACTCGGTCTCATATAGTGCACCAACGGCTCGTATCCTCTTGGCCGGTGCAGTGTTCTTGCTGGTCCTTCCGGTGATTGCGCCTGGGGTTATCCGTACAGAAGAGTGGTCTCAACTATTCCATCCTAATTATATGTTACTTGAAGACGATGACACTGATGATTTTGGAATGCACAAAGAAATGATGTGGAAAGAGGATTCAAGTATGACTCTTTGGACCGAAAATTCTCATGGTTTGAAAGAGAAGGAAAGTTGGACTAGCAGCTTTTTGTTGAGAGATCGTTTGCTGCTGCTTGGAGAAGAACATTCAGCAGATCAGCTCATGTGTAGGTGGGATTTCTGGCTATATTACCTAGCATATTTCTGTGGGGGAACACTCGTACTCGTTTACAGCAACAATCTAGGCCAAATTTCAGAGTCACTTGGATATAGTTCAGAGATCAGCTTTCTTGTTGCACTCTATTCTGCATGTTCCTTCTTCGGGCGCCTACTTTCAGCAGCCCCAGATTTCCTACGGGAGTAAGTATTTCCAGATTTACTATTCTTTCAATGGACAATCACCATAATGGTAAAAAGTTTGACAGAGAGCTGAAAATGGTTATTTTTGGTTGCAGCAAGATGTACTATGCAAGGACTGCATGGCTTGCATTTGCGCTGATTCCAACACCAGTGGCTTTTTTTCTGCTTGTTTTATCAGGAAGCAAAGCCGCATTGAGCGCTGCCACGGCGTTGCTTGGGTTGAGTTCTGGTTTTGTATTTTCAGCAGCAGTGTCAATAACCTCTGAGCTATTTGGCCCCAACAGTGCAGGGGTCAATCACAACATTCTCATCACCAACATTCCTCTGGGATCACTACTCTATGGACTTCTTGCAGCTCTAGTCTATGAAGCAAACCTAGGAAAATCAAGCCAAGTTCTTGTATTGGATGGATCAAAGGTTTGCATGGGTAGGAACTGTTACATTCAGACATTTATGTGGTGGGGATGTATCTCTTTGTTGGGGGTAGTGTCTAGCTTACTGCTTTTCCTAAGAACTAAAGCTGCCTATGACAATCAGGAAAGGAACCGTAATTGGATGAGATTAATATAAGTGAGTGAAATTATCCTTCTGAACTGACTTGTGACAGCTATATGAAGATAGTTGCCATTGGAATCACAACCCCGTAGCACGTATAACAACATTCGTGCATAACATTCTAATAAAGGTTGGAAAGAGGTATAACACTTGACACTAATGGTAGGGTCGAAGCATCTATATCATGAGGACCATGAGACAAAAGGATGTAACACTAGCAGGTTAGCATACTCTACCATTTGCATGAGTTGAGAATACAGAGATAATTGAGAATTGTAGAGGAAGAAACAGAGAAAGAAATGATGAGACACAGCAGAATATGATTGTTGGAAGTTACAAGTTCTACTGACAAGGTATGCTGGCTTCTCCAGAAAAGATTAATCCTCTAATGAGAGTACTAAAATACTGTCAGCCCCGTCAAATAGATTATAAAAAGATACCTGAGTCCAAGAAATTCTGTAGATCCCCCCTCCTCCACCTCCTGCCCTTGCGCAGGGGCACAGCGCAAGTTGAGCACAGGAAGAAGAAAATCAACCGCTATGTAAAAGTAAATGAGAATGCACTTACTAACACAGTATGGATGAAGAATACAGAAGACAATTAGCACCATCGAAATAAGTTAACTGTTGCAGCATTTTCAAATGCCCCAAAAACCGTTCTCTTGTCTAAATTTGTAGTACTTGCTCCCAGGAATTGCAATAGCACATTGTTATATAAGGCTGCCAAGAGTTTTTTCTAGCCTCTAAGAATGATTGTAGAAACATACTGACAAACCATTCCAAGGCTGATTAGATCTGGAGGAAAAAATATTTAGAACAATTTTGATTTCTTCAGTCTAGCACACTATCAGCTTTTTCAACAGGCAAAAGATGAAGAGTAAGCATTAGAAGCTGGGTTGAACAATGAAAGAAGTGAAGCTTCAAGATTCTAAATTTAAACAATACGATTATTTTCTAATATTGACATGTTAAATGGCATGTACTTGTCAAAATATGTAGTACTAAATTCCATTCTTTGAAAATGATATATCAGAGCTAATACTTAATCGGACACAAGTAGAAGATAACCAAACAATCACAATATAGAGAAAACAGATCCACATGAACAAATAGTAAGTCATTCTTTTAAACCAAACAGAACAGTAACACTATAGGGCAGCCCAGCATAAGGCATCCCGCGTTCGCCCAAGGGGTGCGATGTAGACAACCTACTCTAATGCAAGCATTATTGGCTGCTTCCACGGCTCGAACCCGTGACCTATAGGTCACACGAAGATAACTTTATTGTTACTCCAAGGCTCCCCTTCAACAGTAACACTATGCTCAAAGAAAATATAATCGTCTAAATATGGTTTCAAATACTTGTAAACAGCCTACAACTTCCTACAGTTCAATTGGGTTGGCATCAGTTGCACCCTCTTCATCTTCAGGCAGCAATTCAGAAGGGAAATCACCTCTCAGAATCTGAACTCTAAAATGGATTTTGCTAGTGCTGCACTCTGAAAGTTCAAACACAAGTCCATCCCCCACCTTCAGATCGTTATCATCCACAAATTTTTTCCACTCAGCGCTAAATTTGTTATTAGAATAGTAGAACATATCCCACTTCTTTCGACCACAAGTAAGGACTGCTGGGGCTCCACCAGCAGGTAGCTCTTTGTTCATTTTTCTCGGTAAATACTGTCAACATCAAACAAATTCAGTGGCTGATCCAACATAAAAGCCGCGGGTTCAGAACTCAAATATAGGTCGGGTTAAAAATATAATTTTTTTAGAAATTTCACAAGTGTAGTTTGAGAAGTATAGTATGTATGCAAAGGTATAAAGATTGTTTCTGATACATCTCGGCCAATAAAGACCTATAAATCAAAGAATTGAAAGGAAAAAAAAAAAGGGAATTACCATGCCATAGTGGGGCTTGACAGTAGTTTTTGTGAGAATCATATCAACATAGGGTTTGCCAGAAAGGGGCCAGTATTCACCATTGTCGATTTCTTCGATTCCAGTGCTCTCACGCTCGGGTGTGGAGTAATCTTCGTGGTTTGAAACATGTACAAAAGATGGTTTGCTCTGAAAAAATTCAAAGGATCACGCAACCTTTAAATTATAGAAGGAATCGAAATAAAAAATGTAGAAGAGAGAATTTGCTAGGAATCATGGGAATGTACCTCCATTGCGGTTTCAATAGATAATTGGAGTTGTTCCGTTTTCTTATTCTTCAGCAAACCAGTGGAGTTTCGGTACTACCTATTTTACTTAGGGTCAACATGTATCTTTTATGTATTAATTGTTTTGGGAAAAGGTACTAATTTGTCCTTGTACTATTGTATATAGTTTACATTTATCTCTCGTTATACTTTTAGTTCAAATACATCTTTAACGTTAACAAAGTAACCAAAAATATTCTTAACCCTAATATTTTGACACTGTGGCACTCGAGGCCCTTAAATAAATCACCACGTAATAATACATGTCAGCATTTTTATAAATTCACTACCCAATATATTATTTTAATTCTTTTTTCCTTTTTTCTTTTACTTTTCTCTTTCTTCTTTTTTCAACATCACTTCTTCTGCTTCTCCAACACCATAGCCCGCCGCAAGCTGAAAGATTTTGACACCCATCAAGAATTGTTTAAGTTCATGATAATGAAATTAGAAAGAGAATGAGATTGTTTTTCTGAATGGGCTGAAAATGCGAGGACTGCTAGTTATGATTAATCCCAAAGGTGATAGACCATTAATCTTCTTCCTCTCCGGCGGGCTTGTCGAAAAGATGCGATGATGGGAGACAATAAGCTAAATTGTCATTGGTTGAAACTGTCAACATTGACCAATATTGCCTTTTGACTTTTCAAAGCAGTGTGAATATATTGACAAGCAGTAATCTTCTCCATCTTTGGTGGTCTTGCCGAAAAAATGCCCGCAAGTGAAGAACCACGCTTAGATTTGGCTAAACGATTATCGGTGAATTTTCTTTATCTTAACCTTTATTTGTCGCAGAACTTCTTCCGACCGACCTCAAAATCTTCATTGCTTTCATTTTTCTTCTCTAAAAATCCTCTTCCAAAACTCAAGAAAAACTTGGTTGCCTAAAATCGTGAAGGCGAGGTAGAGGCCAAGGTAGTATGGTGTTGTCATGGGTGGTAATGGAGGTTTTCGCTGGGAATAACATCTTGATGTGAAACCCCATTCTTTATAAATATGACAAAAAATAAAATGATCTAAGTTTGCTATAGAAATCAAAGTTGATTGATTGAATTTTGAATTCAACGGAGAAGATGAAAACGCCGAAAACAGTGGAGAAAGGGAGAAGAAAAAGAAAGAGTTAAAAAGTTAAAAATTAAGTGGGACCCACAAAATTCTCTTTATCTTGAATGATATATTTAAGGATTAAATGATAGAAATGATGACATGACAATTTATTTGAGGGCCCCGAGTGCCACATTGACAAAACGTTAGGGTTAGGGGTATTTTTTGCATACTTTGTTAACGGTAAGGATGGATTTGAACGAAAAGTATAATGGGGGACAAATGTAAACTATATACAATAGTACAAGGACAAATCCGAACCTTTTCCCTAATTGTTTTTTGGGGGAGGGGACGGGGGTCGTCATAAGAGCAATGTTAGTATAATATTAAAAATACTAGTCCGGTTTACTTTTAGTTGTCCACTTTAGATTTTTCACGTCCCTTAAGAAACAATAAATAAAATGTATAATTTATCATGATACCCATATTAATTGGTGTATAGTCTTAATGGATTTAAAAAATAATTTGAAATGAGTAATTAATGCTAGGGGCAAAACAGAAAAAAAATTATTTTTCTCTTGATATGCGAAAAGTGACAAGTAAAAATGAAAATTTATTTTTAGAATACTTGACAACTAAAAGTGAACGGAGAGAGTAGTTAGGAATATTTAGAATAAAATCTACTTTACCCCCTTAACCTTTAAGGGTTGGAAAACAATATCCCTCATATTTTGAATGGGAAAAGGAACCCCTCTTATGCAATACTTTTTTTTTGTGAGAGTTTCTTTTTAAAATAAAGATTTTCTTCCTCTCTCTATCCTTTCAAAGGTAAAGTATAATATTTTTCATCCAAACCAATACTTGAATTTTGTTTTTCTTGCTTGTTAAATTTAAGATATTTTTCTATTATATTGAGGCCACTATTAAAAATTTTAAAATATAGAAACAAAATTGCATACGAAATTCAAGAAATATGTTGAACGCACATTCACCATGGATGCTTTAGCATTTGATGAAGGGAAAAAGATGCACTGAAATAGTCAATTTTGTGACATACTGTAACGACCCGACCGATAGTTTTGAGCTCTAGCACGTCGTTCGGAGGTTTGCGGCCTTGAGTAGCTTCACTTCAGGTGTTATGACTTGTACGTGTGGTTGGAATTGAATTTCGGGAAAGTTCGGAGTTGATTCGGATGGAAAATTCTAATTTCGGAAGCGTTAAGTTGGAAGAATTGACTAAGGTGTGAATTTTGAGTAAACGACCTCGGAATCAGGATTTGGAGTTTTCAATAGGTTCGCATGATAATTTCAGACTTGGGCGTATGTTCGGATTGAGTATCGGATCACCCGCGAGCATTTCAGCGCTTATTATGGAAGGTTGGTATTTTAAAAGTTTAAGAAATTCTTAAGTTTGACTTGAAGTGGATTTAATGTTATCAATATCCGTTTGAGATTTTCAAGCCTTGGAATAGCTTCGTTATGTCATTTATGACTTGTGTGCAAAATTTGAGGCCAATCGGACTTGATTTGATACGTTTCGGTACAAGATATAGAATTTGGAAATTTGGAAATTTATAAATTTGATTCGAGGCACGATTCATGATTTTGATGTTGTTTGACGTGGTTTAACGCTTCGACTAGGTTCGTATTGTACTTTGGGATGTGTTGGTGTGTTTGGATGAGGTCCCGAGGGCCTCGGGTGTGAATTAGATTGAAAATGGATCGAGTTTGGACTTGGGAGGAATGGTGAAGCAGCTGGCATCTGGTGTAACCGCACCTGCGAGGTTTTGGCCGCAGGTACGGAGCCGTAGAAGCGGACAAGAGGGTTGCAGAAGAGGCCAGGCGTGACTGGGGCTGAGGTCGCAGAAGCGAGCAGGTGGACTACAGAAGCGGAGTTGCAGCTGCGGCGGATCGATCGCAGAAGCGGAAAGTGTGAGAGAGGGCTGCTTCGCAGAAGCGGCAATGTTGCCGCAGAAGCGAGTCCACAAAAGCGAGGAGGAGCATCGCATCTGCGGAGCCGCAAAAGCGGCTAATGGACCGCAAATGCGAGAGGTCGCTGGGCAGTGAAGTTTTATAAAAAACGGGACTTGGCCTATTTTCTTCCATTTTCACTTGGTTGGGGTGATTTTGGAGAGCTTCAAGGGGATATTTTCATCAAGCAACACAAGGTAAGTGACTCCCACCTATTACAAGTTAAATACATGGTTTGTATAAGGATTTAAACATGGAAATTTGTAGAAATTGTGGGGTTTTGGTGAAAAACCTAGGATTTGGTATTTTTGAATTTTGACCACGAAATTGGACGTGAAATTGAGAATAAATTATATATTTGAGTTCGTAACGTGGCGGGTAATGTTTATCTTCAGAAATTTTGGAATCTGGGCATGTGGGCCCTAGGGTTGATTTTATTGACTTTTCGAGCGGAGTTGGAAATTGTTTAAATTGATTAATTATGGGTATTAGAATATGTTTTGATTGGTTTGCAAATTGTTTGGATAGTTTTGGATCGACGTGCATTGGTTCGAGGTGTTAGAGTGGCTTTAGAGCCGGTTATGGGACTTCGGAGCGAGGTAAGTCTCCAGTCTAACCTTGTGAGGAGGAAACTACCCCTAGGTGATATTTATTATTATGTTCTACTAGTTGTGGGTGCTACGTACACACGAGGTGATGAGAGTCCGTACGTAACTAAAGTATGTTTATGTCCGGGTAGACCTAGGATCTTATCATGAAATGTTTGAATTACTTGAATTCATTCTGCTGGATTAATTAATTGAAGTTATAATTGAAATTTATTTAGAAGTAAATATATGTACACTAGGCTAAACCTTAACACTTTGAGTTGTGGGCGAGTTATTTGAGAAATAGTAAAGATTAAATTCATTTTGTGCTCATGTGCTGTATTGTAAACACGTGCCTCGTAATTCGGTAACTTTCTCCCTTTTCTTGTGGAGCGGGTCGAACGCCTCGATAGTATATAGATGCATCTATGGATCGTGTTGCATGTCCCTCGGCAGTGTACACGTTATTCTAGATCGGGCCGAACGTTCTCGGTAGTATCGTGCGTTATATCGCTAGTAGCCTGAATATTTACGTGCTAATCTTTCCACTGATGTCTGGAACTTTATGGTATTTCTTATTCATTTGGTATTGACACTTGGCATGTTCTGGGATATTAAGGAAGAATACAAGTTTAAGAAAATCTATACTTTAAAGGAAATAATTGGGAAATATTATGAGAGTACAAACTTACTCCACTATTGTTGTGCACTTCACATCTGTTATGATTTATCTTATTATTTATTTGGACCTCTAGTAAGTATCGATGTTGGTCAATCGTCACTACTTTTCCGGGGTTAGGCTAGATACTTACTGAGTACGCGTTGATTTACGTACTCATGTTGCACTTCTTCACTAAATGTGCAGGATCTGACAGGTTCATTAGATGATCATCTTGGTGCGTAGGCGCATCTGTTGAGGAGACTTTACGTGAGCTGCAACCCAAGCTATGCATCGCAATCCACCGAGTCTCCATTGTACTAATAATTTTATCATGCTCATGCACTTGTGATACCGGGTTTTGGGGGTCCCTTCAGGTTATTCATTATTGTGGTTCGTGCAAATATTTTTATTTACTCGAAAAATTCTATTTTATGCTGTTCAATTAATGAAAAATTATGATTTTAAAATACTAAAATAAGTAATTAACTTGGTAAATCACCGTTGGCTTGCCTGACGGCGACGTTAGACGCCATCATGACCTACAATAAATTTTGGGTCATGACAGCTCGGTATCAGAGCATTAGGTTCATTTAGGTCTCACGAGTCATGAGCACGTCTAGTAGAGCCTCTCGAAGATAAGTACAGAGACGTCTGTACTTATCTTCGAGAGGCTACAGGGCTGTTAGGAGCACTTCCCTTCTTGATTTCCTTATCGTGCAGTTTGATTCCATTGAGGCTTGTGCCTTTGTTTCCCTCCTACTCAATCTTATGCAACGCAAAGCGCTTGTTGTC